CTGTGTCTGTGTCCCCACTCTGTGTCTGTGTCCCCACCTGTGTCTGTGTCCCCACCTGTGTCTGTGTCCCCACTCTGTGTCTGTGTCCCCACCCTGTGTCTGTGTCCCCAGCCGTGTCAGTGTCCCCAGCCGCTCGCTGCAGAGGCCACCATGGTCACCCCAATGCCGTCCTGGCTGGAGCCGAGGCTGGCGGGGCTGTCAGGGACAAACAGCCCGGGCTCCGGGCGGCAGAGCCCGCGGGGGCGGCGGCTCCGGGGAGGCTGCGAACAGCGGGGATTGCTGCGGCCTGACTCGGCCAGCACACACAGCTGCTGCTGCTGCTGCGGGGACACGGGGACACGGCCAACACTGATCGGGGACACCGCCAGCCCTGCCCGGGGACACGGGGACACGACCAGCCCTGCCTGGGACACAGGGGACAGAGGCCAGCCCTGCCTGGGGACACGGGGACACGGCCTGCCCTGCCTGAGGACACGGCCAGCCCTGCCCGAGGACACGGGGGACAGAGGCCAGCCCTGCTCAGGGACACGGGGGACAGAGGCCAGCCCTGCCCGGGGACACGGGGACACGGCCAGCCCTGCTCAGGGACACGGGGGACAGAAGCCAGCTCTGCTCAGGGACACGGGGGACAGAGGCCAGCCCTGCCTGGGGACATGGGGGACAGAGGCCAGCCCTGCTCAGGGACACGGGGGACAGAGGCCAGCCCTACCCGGGGACACGGCCAGCCCTGCCTGGGGACATGGGGGACAGAGGCCAGCCCTGCTCAGGGACACGGGGGACAAAGGCCAGCCCTGCTCAGGGACACAGGGGACAGAAGCCAGCCCTTCTGAGGGACACAGGGGACAGAAGCCAGCTCTGCTCAGGGACACGGGGGACAAAGGCCAGCTCTGCTCAGGGACACAGGGGACAGCCTGATGGCACCTGCAGGACTGGGTGCAAGCACAGCTCCTGCACTGCTGCCAGGGCATCACCTGCTCCAAGGACTGCACTCTGCCATTACCTTGCTCAGCCTCTGCTGTGCGCCCAGCACGCTCCATCAAAACACAGAATAATTAAAAAGAGCGGCCAGAAACAAGAGTTGATTGACCAAAGCCATGTAACAGTACTGCTGGTCATTCTCTTAAAAAAGTGGCAACAAAATTCAGGCTACTTTAGGCTTTGCAAGATGCTGTCAGCTAAAAATCAAGACCTCTTTTCAAAACCACTTTTGCCAGAAGGCGAGAAGGAACCGTGTCCTCACATCACTAAGCCCGAGTGCCCACGGAACAATCCGAGTTCTGGCGTTCAGGCGCTCGGGAGCAGCCCCGCAGCCGTGAGTTCACACACCTCTGTCAGCGTGTAAGCCTCCTCCGCCGTGCACTCCGCCTTGGCCGTGGGGTTGCTCAGCGCAAAGATGATGGGTCGCTCGTTGATGGAGGCCATGGCTCTGAGCACATCCTCGGAGAACAGACGCCCCGCCCCAGCAACTCCTGGAGGGGATGGGAACACACAAAAAACAGCATTAACGGCTGCCTCAGGGCAGGCGACAGCCACCCTCCCACCCAGAGCAAAGCTGCTCTGGACATGGGAACCAGCTGCTGCTCCTGGCTGGCTGACACGCACAATTCTCACATCACCATCTACTGAGTGTGCTCCAGAAGCCTATTTCACGTTATTTTTTGGTACTGATGTGTACAAAGAACACGGATAAGCAAGTGGGAATGCCAGGTGCTTTGTGGGTGATTCATCCCAGCTGGGTGTTTGCACACCTGACCACACCCAAACCCAGAGGTACAAACAAACAGCTATGGTGTATTTGTACAGTGGCTACAAACTCCAAGGTACTCTCCTTTTCCAAATAAATCACGTGAAAAGGAAACTGCAGTCACACCAGGAAATACCTGTAATCCTATCTGCTCTCTGCAGACAGCCCCAGCTGTAAATAAATACCTACAGGTGTCAGTGACCTCACAGGTGCAGCATGGAGCTGCTCCTTCGAGCAGGAGCCAGAGGAGGTGACTGGGGGACAGAAGGTCAGAAAACACCCAAACAAGCTCGAGTTAGGGAACTCCTGTGGAAAACACCACGGCTGTGGCTGCTGTCTGTCACAAGGCTCAGAAGGAGCACCACGGCTCAGTATATTTGCAAGCAGCACACTGACCTCACATTTCCATCTTAATTACACGGGCAGAAATGCAGATGGCTGTCGCCAAGCTCCCTGGAGCAAATTACAGGCAGCCGAAACCCAGACGGTAGAAAATGACCTCCCTTACCGATGATAGCTGAAGGCCGAAGTACATTCACTGCCTCTACAAATGTCTTTGGTATGTGCTCTGGAGCCTGGTGTGTAAATGGCTCTTGGTGGGAATCCACCTTCTGCTCTCGGCCCTGCAGACAAAACATTGTTTCCTGCTGTGAGAGGACAGGTGCTCACCTGTGCTGCGGGACTCCCAGGCGTGGGGCAGCCCTACCTGAACCAGCAAGCCGTGCTTGTCAAACATCCATATCCTCCTGGAGGCCTCCTCATAGGATACACCGTTTTCCATCATGGCCATAACAATGAGGTTTGCAATTCCCAGGGCGGCCTGGAGGAGGGAAGGTTACAAACTTGGGTTGGTAACAGCTCACAGAGGAGTCACAGCCCTGCCCAGGATCCCCACGAAAACCCCTGGGTGAGGCAGGAAATGCTTCCCTGGGACAGCAAAGGGACAGAGGGGAGCTCTGCCCGGTGCTGTGAGCTGTGCCAGCTCAGCAGCCACAGCAGGCCAGCCTAGCCTGCAGTGACAGGCGAGTGCTCTCAGCCCTTTGGCCACCAAACCGACCCCGAGCTGTGCAGCATGTCCCTTCCCTGCCGGGAGAAACGAGGCACAGCGAGATGCAGAGCAGGGCTGAGCGCAGCCCCGGCCAATTACTGCCATCAGGGCCTTTCCCCAGGTGCAGAAAGAACTTCTCCGATAATTAAGTTATTTTGTCAGCACCACGGGAGCAATTGTGCTGACGTGCCAAGAGGCGCAGGGCTGCTCCTGGCACTGCAGCACCAGTTACTGGTGCCTGCTGCAAACTCAAATCACCTTGCTGAGAAAAGCTCCCTGCGCTTCCCTCCGGTGCTATAAAAATTAACAAGATGGTCTCACTGCACCATAACTTTATGGTGAGTTTCCCTTCAAACACACACAAGTCCCCGATGCTTTTTTTCAAGGCCATGCAGGAAAACGAAAAATGTGAGTCCCTGCAAATGTTAAACCTGTGAAAGATGTTTATCTTTCACAAAGTCCTGTTTAAGCAGTCCTTTCTGCTTAGCGCATCTCAGCTGGCCTTACATGAGAAGTTGTGCAACGGAATTCAGAGAATGCAAATCTCCACGATGAGAAAATGCACATTTTAAATGTCTCCTGCTGCTCTCGGGCCCTTCAGAGGACTCACCTCTCCAGCTCCAAGGAACAGCACTTTCTGGTCTGTCAGTGGCTTCCCGGTGGCTTTCTGTGCTGCCAGCAGTCCTGCCAAGGCCACCGAGGCTGTGCCTGTGGAAGCAGAGCAAACCTGAGGGCAGCTGAGCACACGGACAAGTGGCCGTGGCTCTGGGAGAACTTTCCGCGGGGGTCCTAGGAAACACAAACAAGGGGCATACCTTGGATGTCGTCGTTGAAGGTACAGTACTTCTCCCGGTATTTCCTGAGGAAGCGGAACGCGTTGTGGTTCCCAAAGTCTTCAAACTGGATGAGAGTGTTCTGGCCGTACCTGCAGCAGATGGCACAGAGCCCCGTGACTGCAGGGAGACGGAGAACACAGCAAAGCCCGCACACATCCCTCATCTCGGCAGGCAGGGCAGCTCTGCCTCTGCTCTGTGCCCACTCACACACGAGGACAGCAGCGTGTTCTAGGTCACCGAGGATGTCACCGCAGGGACACACACACACACACACACACGGCTGCCCCACCTTCCAGAGCTTTCCTCGCTCCCCGGAGGGCTGCTCGGCGCCCTACCTGTCCGTAATGGCTTCCATAAATTCATCGATCAGGTCATCGTACACCTGCGAGCGATCCCTCTTCTGGTACAGCCCCATGTAAAAGGGATCCTTCAGGAGCGTCTGGAAGACAAAACCCAGCGAGGGCAGCAGCAGGACTCCTCTCCCAGCAGAGCCCCCCTCACACCGTGGATGCTGCACTTACACAGCCCCTCTGTCATTCCGGCTGGCACCTGGGGCTGCTGCTGGGCGCTCTGAGAACTGGACAAATCAATACACTGCTTTAATAAATATAATCCCCGCTTCTTATAAGTCAGCTCGAAACTGGCTGCCTATTTTGCAGTGCCCCAGCATTCCAATTAGTTCCAGATGCACCCTTTGGTGGACAAATTAATGGGCAATTTTATATCAGTGTAGAGTGGATTCCAGACTATTTACGTAAAATATTCGGATTTACCTTAAATAAAAGTGCTCAAAAATACTCTTGTTGTAGTATAGAATTATTTTTTTTAAAAAACCCACGTTTTTATAGGGGTAACTCACTGTGTTATCAGTGCCAACGTCGATGCACACAGGCAGGCATTTATCTGGGTGTATCCCTGCACAGGCTGTGTACAAACAGAGTTTTCCCACTGGAATTCCCATCCCGTACACACCCAGGTCTCCAAGACCCAATATTCTTTCTCCATCAGTGACGACAACAGCCTGATGGAAAAATAAAATAAAATTTAAAAAAAAGAAAAGCAGGTCAAATCACACATGATCACTGAAATTTATAAAGATTTTATCAATAGCAGTTGTGATTTTTTCACAGGCAAAAATTAAGGTATGTTTGCTTAGTCAAATGAGGAACAGATCACGAGGAATATTTTCCTCAACCCATAAACCTCATATTTAGGATAAAACACTGATCTTCAAGATATGCATTATTTTAATTAGCTGCCTTCTGCCATCACCACTAAAGAGCCAAGAACGCATTACTCAATATTTATGTTTCCATCAAATTCTGGTAGATCTTAAAAAGCTCAGCTGAGACGGAATAACAACTAGAAACTAAATCACGGAGTGACAGTACCTTAACGTCGTTCTCTGGCCAGTTGTTCACAATTGACCTGATGTGGCCTCTGTCCGAGATGGAAATAAATAATCCTCTGAAAGAAAAAAACAAATCAGAAATATTTTACAGGTGACAACTAAAAATTTTACCTTGCTGTTCTAAAACTAAATGTCAAACAGGACTATTTAAAATTCAAAGTTTGACAGTCACTGACAGAAATTGCTCCAAGGACAGTATCTGTTCCTGCCCAGGGCATGGAGCTGAGAACACACCTGGGCCGGGAGGGAGACGGGGATGGAGCTGAGAACACACCTGGGCCGGGAGGGAGACGGGGATGNATGGAGCTGAGAACACACCTGGGCCGGGAGGGAGACGGGGATGGAGCTGAGAACACACCTGGGCCGGGAGGGAGACGGGGATGTCCTGAAATCCCTTTCCACCTGCACTCCCTTCCAGATGCCCTGTCTTGACACGGATCCTCAGACCCACGGAAGGGTCTCTGATAGCTGGGGAAATCCCCCCTGGAATTACTGACCTGGAAGAGCTGGAAATGGGGCTGAACCCGTGCCCCTGGGGTATTGACATGACCCATCTCCATTTCTGCTTTCAAACCTTTTGTGTCTCAACACAAACCGTGTCCTGAGATACATTTTAACAAACTTTAGCTGCCCTGGCTCGTCACGGGCCTTGTGCAGCGGAAGGAGAAGGGAACAAGCGAGACCTGGGCCAGGAAGGCGGGGGGAACCGGCAGTGAAAGCAGCAGCCCCGTGTGCTTTTGTGCGTTTTTGGTGCTCACTTTGGTCTCCTGAAGATGTGTCCGTACTGGGAGCACGCCAGGCCCACTGTTGGGGTGTACACAATCGGCATGAGCCGCTCGATGTCGTCCTGCAGCACCCTGTAGAACAGCTTCTCGTTCCTCTCCTGGATCCCCATTATGTAGATGTACCTGCCGTTAACCAGCACCAGGGAAAACACCACTTCACCTCTAATTCCTGATGGTTTCTCCACCCAAGTCCCATCCCCCTTCACATCAGGGTTCCGGCTCTGAAGGAAAGGTGGAAAAGAGAGAGCAGCAGGGCTGGAAAGGTGGAATGGAAATACGGGACACGCCGTGTGTGCTGACAAAGTAATGCACACGCCCGGATTAAAGACAACACGTGGATTTGCTGCAGGGAGTCTCATTACCGTTACAAACAAAATTATAGTGAAATAAATAAGTCTTCATCCAAAAATCGTGAGTGAACCCCATCACCAACAGACACACAAAGCAAACCCAGCCCTATCAGAAAGCTCACACTGAAGGACTTAGGTGGGTGGGTAAATCAAATCCGGGTTTCTGCAAATTTACCAACCAATTCGCTGCCCATCAACCCACGCTCGGTCCTGCTGAGCCAGGGACGCAGAGATAATGAATTTGCAATTTGCCTTGGCCACAGCAACTGGGCACGTGGCCAACACAGACGGCAGGACTGCTCTGGGCCAGCGAGTGACACGGTGGGCACTCAGGAGCCACCTTTCAGCTCTGATGAGAACAAAGGAGCTCTGATGGGGTCCAGCGAGCCCCAAACCACCCCAGTTCTCCTCCTGCCTGCAGGAGACGGGTGTATTTTTACAGGCAGAGATACATAAAGATTATGTGAAAACAGTAACGGGGGGATGCTAAAAGCACGGCGCTCTAAAAATAAAACACAGCAAAATCCTTTGCAGTTCACCAAACCAGTGGGTTAAGTAATAAAAGGCATTAAAAAAATGCACATTATGGGACTAAAAATTCCATTCTCGTAGTTCCTTTTCAGCAGTAACTGCTGCATATGTTAAAACACTGGTTTTGGTATCTCAAATGCTCAATTTACCTTCATTATCACACATTTATCACACATTTTTATGAAACGGGCTGAACGTCACCTCCTGTGCTCTAACAACCTGCCACTCCATCTGACATACCACAGAAATATGTATTACAGGTTACAGGCAGGTTTGCAGCTTTGTCTCTGATTTTCACACATTGTCTTTTGCTGTTTCATGACTGTGGAATACTTAAAAAAAAAAAAAAAAAAAAAAAGCTTCCCAGCCTCGTTTAACCACAGGATAAAAGCAGCTTTCTGTGCCAAAGTGAAAATAACACCCAAGAAGTGAAAAACCCAGCGGAGGCAATAGAAAACTTGGACATCCCCACACAACACAACACGCCCATTTTACTTCCAGCCCCAACACTCCCTCGCAGGACAGGACGAGGCTGGAGCAGCTCTTACTTTTCCAAGGGGTCGGTCATTTTTGCCAAGTTCTTGTGGAAGCGTAAGGCTTGGATGTCCTGTGTCTCAATTTTGGGAGGCAGGAGTCCCTGCAGCCCCAGCATTTGTCGCTCGTGCAGCGTGAAGGCCATGCCCTGAAAACGAGAGATGAGAAACAATTATCCATTGTTGTCCCAGCAACCTCCTTTTCCAGGGAACTGCTCCCTTCTGAACTGAACCCTTTTTCCCCGGGCAGGGTTTGAGTGTGTTTGCCTCTCCTTCTCGGGTTTTCCTTGTTTTTTGTGGGCGTTCCTCTCCGCCACGGCTCGCCCGCCTTGCCGAGACCTGGTGGATTCCATTTTCCTCCGTGGGCCTGGAGGCCCAGCTGTGCAGGGATGAAAGGTGAAACGACAGCTTCTGTTTCAGCTGTTCCACGTGGGACCCACCCAGGCTGGTCCTCCCCACGGTCACAGACAGCAGCAGGCACTCTGCATGTTTGTATCCGATTTTTTCTGCACACACTCACTAACACTGCCCGGTGCCCAAGCCACTGAATTGCCCTGACGCTTCTACTAAAAACAAATCTCAACCCCAAAACTTCATTTTCACTTAGAGATAGATCTAATCTGTTCGCCTACTACCGAGAAACCTCATTGGTAGCAAACTGGAAGAGTTCAAATGCAAAAACTTCCCGTTCTTGTCCGTAGAGTGGATGGTGGGTTTAAATTTATTGTAATTTAAATACTAATTTGAACTGTTTCTCACTTTTCAGATTCTTACTGCCAAGTTAAAAAAAAAAAAAAAAGAAAAAATTAATAAAGGCTTTCGAAGGTTTGCTTAAAGCCTTGTAATTACACTCCAAATTCCTCCTGCCATCAGAAAGGTCAGAGAATTAAAATGTCCTGGCCTGGAAGGGACCCACAGAGATCATCCAACTGACAAGAAAAAAAAAAAAATCAGTACTTTTCCACCTGCCAATAAAGGCATCAGTTGGGACTAGAATACAAATATTTTCACCTCTGCTTATGTGAGAACAGATTCTTCACAGGTATTTGTAGAACGGATACCCATTAACACAAATTTCTAAAAAGAGTCTAATTGTAGTGTAATTCATCACACCTGAATGGTTTCTAAACAATACTCCTTAGAGAAAGAAATCCCATCATTAAAATAATTAATACTTTTACATGATTTTCCTCTTTCCTGTTTAGGTCGTATCTAATATTAGTTGTTTTGACTACACTGACTAAAGCAGTCCACCTGCTTTTCTGATTCCATACTATGCTCTACAGTAATAAAATATTTGCAGGGTTAGACAGCAAGAAATAAAAACTGACCCAAAACCAAAAAACTTCAGTGTTTTGCCTTCTTGCAGAAAACTGCAAGTATTTAACCCTAAAAGAAATTTATTTTTCTCTATATTTATTTTCACATCTGCCATTATGTAATGGATTTGGCACTAAATACTGATTGCAATTTAACCTTTCACTCCTAGGACAGTAGAGTTGTTCTACAAGTAGTCAGGAGTCATTTGCAAACCACTGTTTTCTTTCCCAACCTAACTGTTATTCTCTGGTATTCTTCCAATACTAAATACAAATAAATTTCAGATGACAGTTCCTTTTTCAAGTTTTTAACCTTCCCGCTTTTTGGGGGGGGGTTAATTTTTTTTTTTTTTTGGTGGGGTGTAGCAGTCACTTCAGCCACTTTGGAGTAGTACTTTTTTCAAAAAAACTGATCTGAATAATCCAACATTTCCACGAAGAACACAAGCATGTAAAGCAAAACCCACGGAAACACGCTCTGGGGGCCACAGAGGTTTTTTTGTATGTTGCAAAGGATTAGTTCCACTTCTGCACACTTCGCAAGAAATACGAATTCTCTGTGAACAGAAACGCGTGCTCCACACAAACATTTCTCAGCTATCTTCCCTTTTCCTCAACAGTCCGTTTAATACCTTTTAAATACAGTTAAACACCTTTTTTAAAGCAGCCCTTTCCCAACAACCCTCCAGCTGGCTGCCCTCAGCAGTTTAATGCCTTTTAAATACAGTTAAACACCTTTTTAAAGCAGCCCTTTCCCAACAACCTCCCAGCTGGCTGCCCTCAGCAATTTAATACCATTTAAATACAATTAAACACCCGTTTAAACCTGTTAAAACTATTTTTTTTAAATAAAAAACCAGCTCTGTGCTCGCAGTGATTTAGGCCGAGTGATTTAGGCCGCAAGGCCGAGCACAGCTGGTAAACATTTGTAGTATAAACTACATTTGTAGTATGCTGACTGTTGCTTTAGACAGCACAAGAACAACAAGGATGCCAAAATATTGGCAGTGTTTAGAGGAAGAAGAAGAAGGACAGAAGAAGTTTATCTCTGGTCAGCAAGGCCGCTGAGGTTTGCGGCCTGTGGAAGGCCAGGGCTCCCTCGGCAGTGCCACACCAATATTTTACTGTACACCAAGAGAAATACCTCACTAACAAAACCTTCATCCTCCCCTCCGGAAAGCCCTATAAAAACGATGACTGCCAAATTGCTGATCTCCTCCTTCCCAATTTCCCTGCACAGTGGAACCCGTGAACCACCTGGGCCCCCAGCAATGCCCACGACCCACCTTTATTCAGTTTATTCACGCTCCTTCCTACCTGGGGGTTCAGTGTCTCTGGAGTTACAATAACATCAAACAGGCTGCATTTTAAAGCAGAACAGAGACCCATCTTTATTCAGTTTATTCACACTCTTTTCTGTCTGTAGGCACCTGGGTGTTCAATGTCTCTGGAGTTACAATAACATCAAACAGGCTGAATTTTTAAGTGACACTAAGTACTTTCAGCTGTTGATTTACATTACAATTACATCTAAATGTATTCAAAGATGCTTTAATTTCTGCTTAGGTCTAAATCAGTTTGAATAAAAGTGTGTAACGCCACATGGTGGAAAATTCAGAATTTAAAGTTTTAGAATACAGTGATACGTATAAAGGACAAGATGGAAGTTTTGGGGTGGAGGTTTCTTTCTTTTTCACCTTCTTCTTCATGGGTCTAAGTAGTACTTTTGTAATTGAATAAAAAATGCTGCACTGTGAGTCACAAGTGGTTGATTACTAGGCAAAAAGTAAAAATAATTTAAGTGTTAGTTCTGAATTAGACAGTTTAAGCTTAAAAGGCCTCGTAGAAAGAAAGACACATTGTCATTTTTATCTTGTTAGCTAAGAGCGCTGTAGAACTCATTGTAACATAAATAAGAATTGATAAACATCTAAATCCAAACACAAATTACCGTCTCTCAAGGTTTTAATCCCAACTCTAGCAAAAAAAACCCCAAACAAAACAAAACAAAACAAAACAAACCCACAAAACCCCAAAACCAAACAAACAGAACAAAAACAAACCAAAACCAAAACCGAAAAAGCAATAGGCGCTGAAGAATCAGCACTTCAGGGCCCAACTCCCTGCAGTTTTCCCTGGGATTAAATGCTTAAATACTCCCACAGTCCGGGATTAAACGGGACGGGTGTCCTTTCCCCAGGTGCTGACTTGCACTCCTGTTAGTGAAAGTCAATTAATCTCCTTAATCCTCTGCCGAGCTCAGAACAAAGCCTCTGGCCCAGCACACCTCGAGGCCCGCAGATTAATTCATTAATTAATTAACACTCACAAATTCACCACAACAACCATCTGCTGGGAGGGGGAATGAGAAAACACTGCGAGAGTGAAAAGCTGACGGTGTTTTAGTCAAGCCCACACCGAACCACCAGGAGCTTTATTCCACAAACGCTGGGACCTTGCAGCACCTGGGCTCCATCACGCAAGGCCAGCGCTGCTATAAATACCAGCATACACAAATTCCAGCCGCCTGCTTTGCTGCAAGCAGGGCTTTTATAGCGCCCCTGTATGAGTGAGGAATTGTGAGGGGTTTCCAGGCAGGGAAGTGGCAGTGGTGAAGTGGTGAAGTGGTGAGTCTTCCCTGCCTGCTGCCGTCTTGCAGCCACATACACAGCAGAATTTATATATCAATTTATATATGTACATAAAAACGTGTTTATATATAAAACTTATACATAAATGCTCTTATATACAGCAAAAACCCCATCCAGGGCTCCTGACAAAGATGTGCACACAGTTTATATCCAAATTTACATCCTCAAACAAACTGTTTGAGAAATCAGTTACTCTGCTTCGCAAAAGATTTTACAAGTGGTTTCCCTGTAACTCCTAGTAGTTGTTAGAACAGATTCAGCAGTGTAGCACAGCCTCTGTAGCAGCATCATAAACATCTCGAAAACAAAGCAGATTTTATGCTAGACTGTGGGCTGCTTCCCTTGACTTTGCTCCCAGGGGCTAAACACAAAGTTCACTATTGCACAAGGTCCCTGCACTGCAAATTCATAAAGTTCGCTCCTAGGAATCAAAGGTGTCTTCGCTATCTCCACCAGAGATTAAAAGTTTACGAGAGCAGGGTCAGAACACGAGAATCTCTGCTGATCGCCTTCCACACTCACTTCTCACCTTTCCTCTGCCTGCCCCTGGGCGCGGCTGACACAGCAGGGCGATGCCCTGTGACATAACCGCGCTCTCCATCACACCTGCAGCCCTGGAACGCCTCCCCTGTCGGCAGGTGACCCTCTGCAAGGGTGCAGCCAGGTGTGCATGCCCCGGCTGCTGACCCGCACTGGGTGCCACCCGCACCTGTCCCGCCTGCTGACCGTGTGGGTGCTTTGCAGGGAACGCCAAAAGCCGGGAAAAAGCCTTCCCTCGCTGCCAGGGGAGCCGCCCAGCCTCTCCCGGGTAGGTTTTCCAGGCTGGCAGGCAGAGCCGCAGCTCTAAGTCAGGAGCACCGTGACTGACACGGCATCCCTGAACGAACGCCCCGGGGAATTCTCTGTAAACTGCGCTGTTTTTCCAGCTGAGCACACGGGGCTGCTCCTGCTCGCCTCTAAGGCATGAATCCCACAGCAAAACACCCAGGGCAGCGCCCTGCCTGCCTGCCTGCCTGCCTGCACCCCAGCAGCCTGCACGTCCTGAGCAGAACACCTGAACTGAGGTAAAGGAGGTTTGTACCCCCCACAACACCTGAACTGAGGAAAATGAGGTTTGATACCCCCCACAACACCTGAACTGAGGAAAATGAGGTTTGATATTCTCCCCACAACACCTGAACTGAGGTAAAGGAGGTTTGGTACTCCCCACAACACCTGAACTGAGGAAAATGAGGTTTGATACCCCCCACAACACCTGAACTGAGGTAAAGGCGGTTTGATAGTCTCCCCACAACACCTGAACTGAGGAAAATGAGGTTTGATACCCCCCACAACACCTGAACTGAGATAAAGGAGGTTTGATACCCCCCACAACACCTGAACTGAGGAAAATGAGGTTTGATATTCTCCCCACAACACCTGAACTGAGGTAAAGGAGGTTTGACACCCCCCACAACACCTGAACTGAGGTAAATGAGGTTTGATACTCTCCTAATGCCCCCCACAACACCTGAACAGAGGCAAATGAACCTCCTGAGGTCTGATATTCTCCCACCACCTTCGGCACCTGTCACAGACTGAACAGCTCCACGGCCCCGCAGTAATTCCTTCTGACAGCACACAGGTCTCAGGGAGGCTGACACAACCTGCAGGTGCAGGGCCATGCAAACTCCATCCAAGACTCCCTCTGTCTCCAAAGCAGCTGGGCAGGACACACAGCCGGGGCTGTCTGCACAGCTTCTGTCAGTTCCCTGCTTCTCGGGTCTCTTTTTCCCAACCGAGCAGAAATGACTTTTCGGGCACTGCACTTCACAGCCAGGAGACAACCCCCACGTGGATTCCCTCCCCAGGTCCTGTTTATCCTGCCTTCCCCAGGATGGCACAGGGGCACTGCGGATTCCGTGCCCTGGCTGCTCAACCCAGCTGAGTCTAAATCTAAACCGTGCTAAAATAAACGGGACGTGTCAAAACCAGCATGGTGAGAAAGGGTGGGGCAAGGCAGCATCTGCTTTTACACCTTCCAGCTCACACAATCCTTTCTTTGCACTCTCTTGTCCCATCCCTTTCTACCTTGTCCAAATGGCTTTGACTTTGTTGCTGTTTTCTGATTTTTTCTGTTTATTTTTTAATCCGAATCAGAAATGTACCGTTAGGGTGTTCCCCACAAGTCAGTGAGGTCAGGCACAAGCCTGCTAAGAAAACTGTCTCTTTACACAAAGGTAAATTTATCACAGCTTCTGGAAGTATCCTGGGAGCCACGCATGGAAATAAATCGTGCTGAAAAAGCTGTGAATGAACACAGATGAAAGTGTGAGCAAAATATAACACGTGAGAAGATGGCCACCTGTAGGAAAGACAAGATGCTGGTAAAATTCCTCGGGATCAGTCTGGGATTATTAACCTGCCACCAGCGAACGTTTCTTCAACATTTATCACAGATTTCTATTGCTATTTCCAGGCACATACATACACACAAACATGTGCATGTACAAATCCTGAAAACACCCGCTGGAGCCAAAAATTCCAGAGGCACTGTCAGCGCAGGAGGAGTTTTTGGACACCAGGAGGAATTTCCCCATGGAAAGGGTGGTCAGGAATTAGGATTGCCCAGGGAGGTTTGGAGTCCCCATCCCTGGAGCTGTTCCAGGAGGGCCTGGACGTGGCACTGAGTGTTCTGGGCTGGGTGAGACGCTGGGGATCGGGTGACAGCTTGGACTGGATGCTCTGGGAGGGATCCAGCCACAGGGATTCTGTCAATCTGTGGTAATCTAACAATCCTGAGGAGCAGAGTCACGGAAAATGAGGTAATGGAATCCACTGTACAAAACACAGCCGCACACTTCCTCACAAGGAGAACTGATGCCACAACCAAAATCCCCAGCTGAGCTACAGGAATTACCTGCAGGAATTATTGTAAGCCACCAGCTATGCAGAGTCACCAATTTTCTGCAAGCCGAACACAGAGCTAACGTTAAAGGTCGTGCATTTCCAGGGACGACAGAACACTCTGATGCCACTCCACGCGGCAGAGCGGACAGCAGCAGAGTCAGGGATCCTGATCACCTGCAGGAAGAACAAACCCTGGCCCACCTGAAGCACTACACAATATCAGTAACAACTTAATCGCCAGCACTAAACCACTGAGATTGTCCTAGGAGTGCTCTAATTGTCCAGCAAGCTTAAAACGGTGCCTCGGCACAGCAGGGGCCCCCAGCAGAACTGAACATCCTGAAGCCAGTTAAGTGCAGCGGGGATCCCTGTCAGGGAGCAGAAATCACAGCCCACAGAGGGCTCCGGGCAGAGGGGGATGCCGGAACAGCTGCAGCAGCCTCTGCAATCGTGTGGCTGCAGCACTGAGGGCACGGCTGAGAGAGCCCACCGCCCCTTACAGCCTCCCTGACAATCAGCGCCTCAAATCTGGCCTCCAAACACGCAAAAAAAAAACCAGCTGGCGCAGGTGTGGTGTTCACCTGCACGAGACAGGCAGGAGCGGGCAAGAAAATAAAATAAATGTTAAGAGAAAAACCCCCTGCAGTGTCAGTGAGCAAGAGATGAGTTTGCACAAGGGCGAGGGCTGGCTCCTGCCCCTGATGCTGTCCTTCTGCAGCTCTTGTTCCAGGGACTCGTGCCTTAGGGGACACCAAATGTTCTGCTCAGCTGATAGGGGATGTAAAAATTAAATGTAATCAAGTCAAACATGATAATCTCAACGAGCTAACAGCAGGAGATAACGCCCTTTATCTGTTTCTGCAGATAATAAAGATATATACATATCTATACCTGTACACACATGAGGTGCAAGGGGTAAAGGGCTCAGCGTGTCTAATAAATCATTGATGTCTTTGCTGAGTATCCAAAACGCATTTCCACACAGAGACTGCACCCAGCAGTGTCACTCCCTGAGCCTTTCCGTCAGCAGGAAGGACAGGCTGATACAGCACAGGCAAACTAATGCACGATGGGGCTCCCTCTCACAAATGTAACCTCTTGGAGGCATTAAAAAATTAAAAAAAAATCAATTGCCATTAACCAGAAGCTCTCTACTCCCTTCTACTCCTCGAGAAAATAAGTTGCATTGTGCTCAGTCCAGCAGAGAATTCCAGAGTTAAAAAGAAAAAAACGGAAGGATATTACCACTAGAAAAACAGTAAGAAATGGCCTATTGTTCTCGTTTCTGAATACTGTTGCATAATCAGCATTTGGAAAAGCTTACAGGGGTTGAAGTGATTTCCACTGGCATGTCGAAGTCTTCAGAGCTCAGAAAGTCTCCAGATAATTTGATCTCGACAAATCACACCAATTTACTCTTTCCTAGCTCCCTGACACGGCAATCTCCATTTCAGTTTTGCAGTCAGCCGCTCTCTACCTTCCCTAAGTCCTCTCTCCCTCTCTGCAGCCAGCCTGGATCCGTGCAGGGCTGAGGCACCTCGCCCTCTCCTGCCCAGGGGGAAAGGGCAGAGAACCCGTCTCCACTGCCCAGGAATGTCCCGACAGAGGCCCACAGGTAGATCTGCCACCTTTCTTGACCACTTCTGACATCCTGGATCAGCCACCAAAAGCTCTCATCTCATTTCTTAACAGTTTTAATTTTACACATTGATGGCTTCAAGATTCCTGAAGGCCACTACAACTCCAGAAGAGGCTGAGGATGGGCTTCTGGAAACAGGAACAGTTTTGTGAAGGGAACAAAATGCTACTTTCTTATAAGTCAGCCTCAACGCATGGAATTAACATGATATCTCTACCTCCCGGTTAGCTCCCATCAAGGTTTATTTTTAGATGCTCTTTCAGACCCTGCACAGGGATGTTTCTTAGGCGATGTGGCTCAGTCCCAGCTCTCAGTCTGCCAGGCTTAGGACAGAGAGGCCAACGCTTCCTATGGCTAGTGGGCTTGGATTTGGAATTGACTTTGGCAAACTCTTCAGTCAGACCCTCTCTCTGCTAAAGCTCTGCCTGGCTCCCCGAGCAGCAGAGGCAGTGCCAGCAGCCCCAGCTGTGCAGAGGGCAGCACTGGGGACAGCAGGACAGCAGCCTGGGGAGCAGCACTGGTGTGGTTACTGCGCTGCAAAGAGACAGAAAGGACAGCAGCACACACGGACCTCTTTTGGGGAAAAAAGGCCAATTTATTGTACAGACAGCCCGGATTTAAAGTGTGTTACGTGCAGCTAGGACAGGACAGGAGCTCACTGGATAGTTGGGACAAACATCCCTGGGACAGCATGTCCGGATGTCCCACGGGAAACACACGAGGTGTTAATCTTTATGATGAATTCCACTCTGTGTTTCACCATGTTCTCACCCTGGGAGACTCCTCCCTAACTGAAGCTGCAGTCAGCTTGTCAGCCTGGGAATGGACCTGAGAGACAGGAGAAATCCAGGCCTGGAAAGGATTTCCAAGCTGGAATTCCCTGGCTCTGTGAATGTGCGTGTCCACACCCTGGCCCTGCAGGAGCAGCACTGGCCCTGCCGGCAGGAACCCACGGCTGCTCCCTGCCCTGGCCGCGTCCCTGCAGGCGGCTCAGCCCCAGGATAAGGTCCATGGCACTGCCAGCCAGGTGCAGATAAGACACCTGGGAAGGAAGAAGGAAGGAAGGAAGGACAGGCACCCACCTTGTTAGTGCGAGGGTTCAGCATGAGTGGCTTGCCCTTCTCCTTGGTGTGCAGGCCGCGCCGCGCCATGGCGCCGGGCACGGCGGCCGCGCGCAGTCGGGACAGCATCCTGCCTTCCTGCCCTCCTCTGCAGCACCTGGGGAGGAAAAGGCAACACTCAGGCACCCCACGGAGCCAGCACAACCCACCCCAACAGCCCCAGCATGTCTGCTGACACGGGGGAGCGCGGGCAGCGTGAGACTCCTTCCAACACCGTGAAGTAACAGCCCAAAACCAGAGGGAAGGGCTCGGAATGCGCAGAGTACAGAGCGGAGGGAACACGCAGGGACCCTGCGGGGAGCTGGCAGGACGTGTGGGCAGCCAGCTCTGCCTCCGTGTTGCCTCACACCATCGTGGCACAGCACAAATGACAGCAGAAACTGTAACTGCCCACGGCGATCCGCCGAACCGGCACCGGCGCAAATGCCAGCCAGGACAGCACAGCCTGGGAAGGGGCAGCCACAAAATCCCCACCGAGACCCTCTGGAGCTTTCCAACAGCGAAATCTCCTGGCCTGGACAACACGGGAGAGAAACGGTGTCTGTCAGTGGATCAAAGCTGTGCTACGACAAAAGGTGGAATTAAAATGGCCAGAAACTCCACTGGACTGTGGATTCCAGGCTTGGATTTTTACAGTTCCAATTTTAACTACAATTAAAACCAGAAGGGTTATTTTCAGAGAGACTATATCCCTTTAAGCAAAGGATGTTTCCCTAAAATAATTTAAAAATTGCTAGTATAACCCAAGTCCTAATCCTGATAGGTGTTAGCAACTCTTGAACTCGGGTACATTTACAGCCCCCACAGGCAGGGACAGTAAGGCAGGGCACAAAAACGAGACATTTTTAAGGAACGAAATGATGCATGGCTTGGATTTTTAATTTCTTCCAGACGGGAAACAAAATTGAATTAAGGAACAGAACTTCATTATCTTAAACATTGCCTCAATACTTTAGAAGACCTTCCTATAATCAAATTTGCACGTAATCAGCTTTTAAGATGGCAGACCGGTCTTACAAGTTACAGTCTGAGGATTTTCTTGAAAACCTTTCCAAGCATTAAAAAAAACCCTCCAAACATTTAATGTCTTTCACCATCAGTTATGCCCGAATTTCTCTTCCACCCACCACTAGGAAGTGCAGAGGGAAGCTGCTCTGCATCCACAAGCATCCCTTTCCCTCAGCCTTTATTTGTTAAGGCTTACGAATGACTAAAGCTCCACTCAAAACCCCTGTGTTTATTGGTTTTGGGGTAATGGAAGCCTTGCCAGCACCACAAACAAACGCTGCCTCTGACCTGCTTGTTCCTCCCCTAACCTGCTGGTGGGGGAGCGAGCACAGCTGGTCATCACAGCGAAATTAATTCCCTGCTGCAAAACACATCACTCTCAGGACGGGCAAATTCAGTTTTAACTGGTTCTGGCTGCTCATCTGCCATCACCACATGGGCTGCAGGTCCATCTCCCCGTGCAGGGGAGGCCAAAAATGGTCTGTGACCCCAGTGCCACAAACCCCACCCCACAGCCCTGTCTGGGGCCACTGCGGCCCCAACCTTGCTGTCACCAGCAAACACCTTAAACGAGGCATTAAAACGTAGGACAAACACCCCACCTCACCTCACTCTAATTAAATTTAAATTGCCGCATTGCAATTAAACGAGCATTTAAGAACCAAATGAGATTGTGGCCCAGATTCACCCTAACTTGATCAATTAACTCTAATCAGTGAGGCTGAGGGGGAAAGAGAGAGGGGGAAAGAAAGAGGGGAGAAGAGGGGGAAAGAGGTGTGATACAAATCTTCCTTTCTTCTCGGAGGTGTGAGAGAGGAGATTTGCTCGTCTCTGAGGTGTCACACCAGCACCTAAAATTATTCTCTTGACGGAGGTATCTCAGATTCATAAAGGGGGAGCATCAAGTTTCATTTTCCACCGAGCCCTCTCTTTAGATCCAGGAGACATGACCCCGGTTAATTTATATCCAGCACAAAACCTGACTGGCCACTCAGCCCTAAGCTCTCCCTCCCCTGCTCTTCTCATTGTTCCCTGTTTCTGTTTCCTCTCCCGCTCTGCACATCTCCCCCAGCTCCTTTCGTCACAGGGCTCTGAGCGTGGTTCAGCATTTCGTCTCCGAAGTGCGCTGTAAGGTGACCTCCCCTGCCCGCACAGAGCAGGAAATCCTTCCCCACGCCTGCTCACACTGCCCTGCAGGGCTGCCTGCATGGCCACGGCCCTGCTGGCCACCAGCCCTGGCCCCTGGACTCGTGGGGAAGGACAAGGGGACACGAAGTGCACGGACAGCACTTGTTTCTGGGGAGCTGCAAGGACAGGTCTGGGGGAAAGGTCCCCAAACCTGGTTTCAAGGAGATGAAAGGGCTGGATCCTGCTGCTGCCTGGGGAGGCTTTAAAATGGTTTATAATGGTTTTGTAGGAGAGAGGCCAGGCTTGAGAGGGTGGCCGTTTGACCAAAAAACAAGGAGAGATCGTTTTGGCAGTAGAGGCTGACAGAGAATCCCAGAGTGGTTTGGGAGGGAAGAGACCTCAAAGCCCATCCAGGGCCACCCCCTGCCATGGCAGGGACACCTCCCACTGTCCCAGGCTGCTCCAAGTCACATCCAGTCTGCCCTTGGACACTGCCAGGGATCCAGGGGCAGCCACAGCTGCTCTGGGCACCCTGTGCCAGGGCCTGCCCACCCTCCCAGCCAGCAATTCCTTCCCAAGATCCCATCCAGCCCTGCCCTCTGGCACTGGAAGCCATTGCCTGTGTGCTGTCCCTGCCTGCCTTGTCCCCAGTCCCTCTGCAGCTCTCCTGGAGCCCCTTCAGGCCCTGGCAGGGGCTCTGAGCTCTCCCTGGAGCCTTCTCTTGTGCAGCTGAGCAGCCCCAGCTGTGCCAGGCTGGCTCCAGAGCAGAGGGGCTCCAGCCCTGCAGCATCTCCGTGGGGAAGGGATGTGACCTGAGGGAAGAGCAGCAGCTGCCACGATGTGAGAACACACACAGGACTGAGGTTGTGCAAAGTCCTGTGAGGAGGAACTGGGAAGGAAGAAGCAGAATTGAATGAGGAATAAATTCCTGCCCAAACCTGTGTCAGCACAACCAGGACCTCTGTTCTCCCATCAGTGCTTGACAATGGTGAGAGCTAAACAAGACTGTGGTGCACTTCCAGACCGAGCGCAGTACATTTTGGACTTGCTGTGTCACAATTTAAGGGGATTAAATCCTTCAGCACATCAGAGGACAGCTCCCTGCTGTGCCTTATCAGGAGGCAATCTGCCCAGGTCAAACTAATTACCAATATGCACAAGTGCCCTTATCTGGGAGCAAATGTTCTGCTGCTCCAATTATGGATTCGTTAAATGGCAAAACCTATTTTTAAGGGAAAGGTTCATCACGCTCTTAAAAGGCAGAATTAGGTTGGTCAGAGAGTCGGGAAGCTCAGAGTCAATTACAGCACAGCCAGCTTCAATTACTGCCCGGGCTGCCTGACCTGTGGATCTGCCCCCAGTGCCAAGGACTGCACAGCAGCCTGTGCTGCATGACTCTGCAGCCTGCCCGCAGTCTGAGGGACGGGAAACACAAATGCATTTCAGTGCTCCTGAAATCCTGCGTCAGTGACCTGCCCCAGTCTTCTTTTTGGGCACAGAAACTGTGTCAAGGAGCTCAAGGAGCTTTTTTTTTTTTTTTTTGTCACTGACAAGCTGAAATCATTAATTCAAGGCCCCCACAGAATTACCAATCTTTTAGGCCTCAACCATTTGTAAGCCAACAGAGATTTCCTCCTGTGTTCTACAGCAATCCCTCTGGTGAGCCTGCACCACCTCAGGTCTGGTGTGGATGCACCATGCACTCCACTGTCGTTTTTTCTTTTTTTTTTTTTTTGTCAGCCTGGCCCACCCAAGCATGACACAAACCAGGCACGCACTGGCTGGCTTCATCACTTCAGCAATGATAATGCAGTCTAAAATTATTGCATTAGGCAAGCACCAGCCATAAGTGTGTCTCCCCACAAGACTTCTACCTAAAGACAGCAGCTCTCCCTGCACCCAGCAGGCCAAGGATCCATCCCCATCCCAGAACAGGAGCACCCCAGGAGGAAGGAGCAGAGGATGGGGGACGAGGCTCTGCAGTGCAGCTCGGCTCCTCTGGCTGCCTGAGCTGACCAGGTGCCTCTGCTGAGGAAAGACAGCAGGAAACAGTGGCAAAACCATTCCAGGTTCCCTCCAGCAAAGTCCCGGGCCACTGCTTTAAAGGACATTTCTAAGGCACCTTGAGATCTGCAGATTAAAAGGAACAGTCATGGGCAGAAATTACTAATGTAATTACAAGTGTTTGGCAGAGGCAGGAGGGTTATTTTGGAAGCAGATCTTTAGCATACTGGAATTGCTTTTCATCCCTTTTATTCTGAGGCAGCCAGTCCAACAGGGAGAAAAGTCAGGTGTGGAGCACCTAGGCAGAGTAAGCTCCTCACTCGAGGCCGGAAACATTCACTAAACAAAGCACACTCGGGTGAACTCAGATGAGAAAGATTTCAGAAGACCTTCCTGAAGAGAGTATTTGTCCATTCCTGCAGCTGACAGTACTATGAGAGCTCTGGCAGCAGGAGCACAAAGCAGGGCTGAATTGTTTGGTATTGGAGTCTTTGGAACTACTGGTAGCAGCTCTTACCAAACATCACAGAGCTGCATTTTTATACATTAATGAGCCAGACCTAAATATTCTGATTCTTAAGCATCACAAAGTCCACTATCTTTTACAGTGGAAACTGCAGCAGCAGTATTGCTGGCCAAGTCTGACACGATGTATTGACATCCTTGATTTACTTTCATTTGTGTAACTAGGAGGGCTACTGGTGGTGAAGGTAAGGACAAAGACCTTATCCTAAAACCCTCAGAAATACTCCAGGAATAAGCAGAAAAGTGCTCTGTTCTGGAGAGCTGGCACACCTCATGCTGGAGCTCTTCAACTCAGAAACATTTCTGGAGTATTTCTGGGGTACAGGTTGAGAGGTGCTCAAGGATGTTCCCAACAACTACTGCAGTTATAAATGGGAGTTCTTCCCGGGAAAAAGCGAAGATTCTTCAGCACTGAGCACTGCTGGCAGCTCAGGTGAAGTGTAAGCCTGCCAATGCCTCACGAACCTCGGTGTGCACTGGGAGTTAGGGGCTTTAAAAAAACGAAACCACTCCGCTTCATTTACAGAAGAACCTGAGGATCTGTGCATGCACCACGAGCTGCCAGTGCTGCCTCTGCTGCGGGGAAGGTGCTGGCAGGGCTTGTAAAGATGAACACTCAATTAGTACTCACTCAACCACGGCGTGCTACCACGCACTTGCACAGCTTCTGCCTTACTTTGCACGAGAAAAAGCTCCAGATCTTGCCTGCACTCAAGCTGCTGACTCACAAGCCACGGCACAGGGCTATCAGAACTTTCCTCGGTTTGTTTTAAAACACAGGCTCAGGTTAAATTTCTACAGATCTTATCGTGTCTAATGAGGCATTAGACACTGCTGGCTGCACACACATGGGGCCACTTGCAGAGCTGCACATTCTGCCCGGCTCTTTCATTTGCCCACATGTAAATTACAGGTACACACACAACTCCCTGTGATGTACTTTTTGGAACCACCAACACAAAGACACCAAATAATCGACGTTTGGTGTTTTAGATCTTGCTTGGCTGCAAGAATGTCCTTTTTCACCAACCCTTTATCAACGTGCTGTACGTTTGGTTTGGGTTTTTTTCCCTATTGATTATGAGATTTTTGCCAGGACACAACGCCGCGGGCTGCTCGGACAACACCGCTTGGTTATAGTATATTTTAACGGAGCGTGGAGCCAGCGTGTCAGCCACGGGAGCAGGCAGCCAGGAGGCCAAACCCAAACGCTAAACTCTATAAAGTACCAGGCGCCGCTTCCTGCTCTCCAAGGCCGCGCCAGCTGCTCCGCTCCTTCCCAGCTTTCACTCGGCAGGGCCTGGGGAGTTGAGGGCAGCTCCGTTTGTCACCCTGGGCACAGGGGTAGCCACGGCGGGGCACAGCCGGGGCTGCTCGCCCGGCTCCTCGCAGGCACCTGCCGCAGGGCCCAGGGCTGCCCCCGCCCTGCTGCAGGCCGAGCCCGGGGCCCGCACCGCCGGGCTGCTGATCGGCACTTCCCCCCGCGGGGCCGGACCGGGGACACGGAGCATCCCGGGCGGGCTCCATCCCCTCCCCGCGCCCGGCCGGCCTCCAGCCCCTCAGGGCGCCCCGGAGACACGGGCTGATAACGAGACACAGGCCTGTGGTGGCGCCGCCGCAGTTGTATAATTGTTACCAGAACGGGATCTACCTCCTCCTGCGGCTGCTGCCCGCTGAACGATGCCGGCCGAGGACCTGTTCCGACTGAGCGAGAGCAGCGCCCGCCCGCCGGAGCTACGTCCACCGCGGAACCCGCCACTGAATGCAGCCAACACCGAAGCGCCGGGGAGGGACACCCCGGGAGGCGGGTGTTGGCCGTGACTGACAGCTGTTACAGCCAATAGAAGGAAAGAAAGCTCGCAGGCGCCGGTGGCGCTTGGCCAATGAACGCTTGATCCCGCCCCGGCAGAGGGGAAAGCGGGACAGGCGCGGAAGGGCGGGGTCTGACGGAGGTTAATGGGGCAGGGGCGGCAGCCAATCAGCGCGGGGGGGCGGGGCGAGGGCGGGAATGGAGAACGTAACGGGGTGGGAATAGGGATGGGA